ATTCATTGATGTATAGCTTGGCGTTAGGGTCGGCCGCGTGTGCCGTACGGAAGGCCTCCTCAATGAAACTGTAGTTAAAAGTTCGCGACCATATGCTGTCCCTTAGTTCGCCGGACACTTCATCGATTGCCTCATTGACGACATCCCACGCGTAGATCTTACCTATGAATTGAAACATATTTTTATTATTAATTACTTTTAGTTTATAAAACTTTTCGTTAATACCATAAAATAGAAATAAATAATAATTAATTGTAAATCATTTTAAATTATTTTATATAATTTTGAAAAGTAGGACTAATACTAGTTTATAAGTATCAAGTAGAATTTAGTTGAAAGTTAAAAATTAAATTGAAATAAATTAATAAAACAATTTTTATCTATACCTTTAAAATGTCCAACCACTGTATTAATATGGTCCTTCATCACTTGCTCGAGCTCAGCCTTTTTGCCCTCCAGTCCCGCAATCCATGTGGGCAACAGTTCGTGCCAAATGAGGTTATGTCCCCTGATCGTCATATTGTGTTGCTCTCCATATGCGACCACATTGTCGGCGGGTCCCCAGTTGTACTGCCCTCGTACTGGCTCCAGAAACCCCCATATTAAAGCCTCGCATGACACGCAATTGAACTCCTGGCCCAGTATTTCCAGGTATTTCTGGTCGCTGAAGGCATCGGTCCTAAACGACGTTCCGATGTACTTCTGTTTGGCGTGATCTCGGAGGTGACCCTCGCTCGAGCTGCCGGTGCCCAACATATTCATGAAAAATAAGATTTAATATCAAAAAATATAAGTTATGTAAAAATATTTGTCAAATCCTTACACAATCAATACCGCGATTAAAATGATTGACGTGGACAGCATTTTCGTGTGCTTTATATTAATATAATATACAGTTTATCAAAATAAAGTTAAATTTCTAAAACAATTAGTTAATGAATTCACACAAGTATTAATTAAGCATTTTATGACAGTATGTTTCAATAATTTCTCAGATACTTATTACAGTGTGCTTGTTAAATATCTCAACAACACATTTATATACCAAAATATAGATGAAATATAAATTTATCTAAAATATATTTGATAATATTGACCATACCTTGTAATAAATTATTAATCAATTAATAATGAAGTGTTTCAAATTATCTACTGGATTAATGTTCAACAATAGTAACTAATTATAAGACAATTCCTGTACCAGTATTTTAAACGTGAGTGCAAGTGTACACAAATGTTATAATATTGATAAATAAATAATATATTTGATAAACATTGAAAACTTTGATTGAAAATATCTCTTAATTAACTCGTTGCTAAAATTGATTAAACAAACCAGACTTTTGTTACATTCTAACCCTAAAAATCTTAAGGTTTATTCCCTATTCTACATAATTGTATCAAATGTTAAATTTAAGGTTATATACCATCTACTAATTGCTATATTTCCCAAATAACTATTGATTATAAACTTTATAAAGTCCTTTAAGTTTATTATTAAGTGTTTTACATTTGATATGAGTGCTTTTTATTGATTAAATTCACAAAAGTGACATTACTTTCAATAACAAACAAAATTACTTAAATTTTTTTAATAAAATAACTTTTATATTAATTTTGAATTATTTGAAAACAAATAAATCGAGTTCATATTTAATATAAAATAATTGCAAATGAAAAAGGTTGATTTATTTCAAAACTTTATCGACAGCGTCTACGGCGGGTTTGGGTTTATAATCCTGAGTCCATAACTGCTGTTCCCCATAACCCTTATCAATCAACCAAGAGTATTTATCGGTAAAGCCCCAAACGGTTACCCCGACACACCTGTCCACGTTCATACACGCGC